ACATGGGGCTGGTGCCCTACCCACTGAGCCACAGGCACCACCCAAGAGGAGCCTTTTTAAATGAATCGTCTCCAAAGACCATGAAGACCCAAGCACTGATAGCTAGAGGCAGAGCACTGGAGCCAAACGCCCAGAGGCAGAAGCCTAGCCTGCCTCCTCACTGTGGGACCCAGGGCAGGTCAACTCAGCCTCTCTTGGCCTCACTGACTAATTCTGGACAGGGGACCAGCAAAGTGTCGACCTCACAGGCTGGTCTAAGTGAATAAACCCCAAGGCTCGCTGTGCTGACCCTGGTGTTGGTGGGTTCGCCTGGTGTCCTGTTTCACACGTGGCTAGTTTGCAAACATCTCTTCCACTCTGGGGCACATGCCTATGTCCCCCACATGCCACCATGCAGGATGTGGCAGGGAGGACACTCAACCACGATAACAGGTAGCAACTCTCCTCCACTGCTAACCCTGGCCCGTCCTGCAGGATATCAGCCCTGCACTGTCAGGACACTCCCCAATGAGGCTCAGCCGTGTCTCACTTTAACATGTGAGGAAAGTGTCACAGTCCAACAGCACAGGCCCCAGGCTATTGAGAGCTAAAGGGACTGATTTACAAACCCCATCTGTACTGTCACCTGCTGCCCTGGACAGGACAGCCTGCACACACCTGTCTCAGCCTCTGAAGCCTGGACCACACGCGTCTGCACACAATCCTACACGCACGTGTATTTGTTGCTTCCTAAACAGAGACCTGCTCTCATCCTCACTCATCCCCAGCACTGAGTACTATGTGGCAGAGGGTGTGGATTGGCATCAACCACCAGGAAATGAGGCCACACAATCTAACCCCTCGAGGACAGGGAGGTCGCCACTTCCCACTTAACAGGGCAGGGTGGCAGGAGAAAGCGGACAGGTGCTGGGCAGATTGGAGACAGAGCCAGAGCCAGCCAAGGGGCTGGACCGTCCATGCTTGGGAAGCATCACAGCCCAGAATGTGGGGCTGCTGGGAAGGCCATACAGCGGCCACTGACCCTAGAGGCAGCCCCAGGCTGGCTTACCTGTAGGCCGACAAAGACCAGGCTGGCACCCTGCTTGTGGAAATCCTGCAGGAGATCGCTGAGCCCCAGCACCACAGTGTAGTCGATGCTGCAGACGTGGGTGCACTCCAGGACCACGCAGCGCGGGGGGGACACTGGGGAGACAGACTCAAGCTAGTCACACTGGGCAAAAGCAGCCAAAGCACAGGCCAGACGCGGAGCAAGGCCAGACGTGGAGCAAGGCCAGCATGTGCTGCCCAGACAACTGCAGTTTGGGTCAACCACTGCTTCTTTCCCAGGACAAGAGGCCCCTGGGATCCCCATTGGCACCCCAGAAGGAGAAAAACAAGACCTCAGGGGCAATAAAGGAGAAATGTGTAGGGAACTGCTGGCCGGCCTGCAGCAGAGCACAGAGCAGGTGCTAGGCCAGGTGACCACAGGAGACACTGTGTGCACTCAGTTGCCCAAGTCCTCCTGGCCAGGTGCAGAGGGCAGGGCAGGGAGCTTGGGCGACCCCAGGTACCTTCCAGGGCCCGGCTCAGGATGGCCTCCCGCAGAGACTCAACTGCAGGGAAGTGCAGGCCGCTGGCCAGCTGCAGGACAATAACTGGCCCCTCGGACACCTAGAGGAGCAAGCAACTGTCAGACACAGGTCCAACACGGTAGCCTGTCCCAAGCATGGCCCGTCCCAGGCAGGAAGCCCCAATCCAGGCCCAGTGCACTGGAGGGGAAGGAGAGTGAAGAGCTGGCAGGAGCCTCTCCCCACCCGGGCTGGGGACAGAGTGGCGAGCTCTGTGGTTTGTACCAGAGAGTGTGCCTGCCTGCCAGCAGCGCCCACAACCACAATCACTCCCCCAGCCCCAGGTACCTGGGTCCCAGGCCTGGCTACATCGTGCAGAAGCAGGAACAAGGACACCAGCGCCCCGGCCAGGATGCCATACTGCACCTCCCAGAAGCACAGGAGGAATGTCACACACAGGGGCAGCAAGTCCAGCCCTAGGGGAAGGTCTATCTGAGGCGAGGCCCCCACTCAGCCCTGCCAACCACCCCTCAAGATCTCCCACACTGATGAGATCACTTATGGAGTTGAAGTGGCCCCCTAGGGAACTGGTTCTGAGGATTCAAGGATGGCAGCTGGCATTGAGCCATGTGGCATGGAAGGGGACTGTGGCTCAAATTCACATGCACTCAGAGGAGAAAATCCTCTCCCTGCCTTGCTGAGCCACAGTTAAGACCTGCTGGGCCAGGATCCCAGGCTCCAGCCTCTGGGGTCAGCAGGGGACTTGATGGGACAGAGGGACTGGGCACAGAGCTGGCTGAGAAGTGGGGTGTGGTCATGTGAACCCTAGGGACCCAAAGATAGGTGTCTGGCCCCAAAAGAGGTGGTCAGCTTGGGGGTCAGCCCTGGGTGGGGTACAACCGACACAGGTGACTCAGACATCCCTACCTGCCCTGAACCTTGGTTTCCATGGGTGGCATGTGCTAACTCTACGAGGGCACCTCAGTGTTCCACAGCTGTTCTACAAAGCAGGTGCGGTAATGTGCTGAGGACCCACGTGCAACAGGCTGGTGGCAACATGGGTCCTCTCACCTGGCAACTGGCTGTAGCTGACCAAAAAACGCAAGATAAGCTACATAAGCCCTTTCGAAGCTTTTTTGATAAATATAAGAAAATGCAGATTTGTTACAATAAAGGGACTGCTGGTTTGGGAAGCCCTGGGGCACCGTGACCAGCAGGGCAAAGTCATGCTGGACCCAGGAGGCTCCCTGGGAGGCCCCTCTCATCTGGGCTGGCCAGAGGCAGGTGGGGTGGATACAGAAGAGGACACCCCACACCAGAGCAAGGTCAGGTGGTATGCTGGACCCTGCAGGCCAGAGCAGCACAGCAGCCCTTCAGGGAAGAGTCCAGCTGGTCCCAGCAGCCTCAAACCCCCAGCCCTCTTTATCTGCCATCCCTAGGAACACCAACTTCCCAGCTCCAGCCCCTGCAAGAGCACCAAGGACACCCCCGAATTCATAGCCGCTCCACACCAGGGCAGGACATACATACTCTTAACACGCCAGAGCGTCCTGAAGATCTTGGTGTCAAACAGCGGGGCCACCGCCATAATGATGACTGCAGCCAGCGCAGCCTTTGGGATGTAGTGAAACTGGGAGGTCAGGTAGGCCAATGACAACAGCACCAGTGCTCCTGTGGGACACGGGGCACCAGGTGACCTGCAGGCCTGAGTCCTGCCCAGCAAGCACCCTCCTGCTCAGAGGAGCACCACCTGTGCCAGTTGGAGGGCATGAATGGCACAGCCTCCCGTCCTGACAGCCCCAGGGGACGTGGTCTGCAAGCCAAAGCAGACTCAGTGGTACCCTAAGCACAGCAGTCTCTAGCTGTTGGCCCCTCTCACAGTGTGGGTACAAGGGAGAAGTGGGGGCTCACCTGTCACCAGCCCCCCTGCTGGGGTGCACACCCCGGACTGGGCATTCACTGCTGTCCTGGAAGATAATGAGAGTGAATGACTGGGGGTCGGGCAAGGAAAAAGGGGCCTCTACCTGTGTGGCCAAGATCTGGGAATCAGGAGTCTGAAGTCTGGAGGGGGGCTGAGGCCAGGTGACTCAGGGCACAGCCACAGACAACTGTGCCATGGGTAAGACGCCAGCCATGGGCCCCAGGTGCCTGGGCCCCTGCATCTTGCTGAGTTGTGCAGAGTGTTGAGATGATCATGATAGACCACCGGGGGCAGAAGTCCCATTGGGCCATCCTGTTTTGTTTTGGGGCAATATATATCATCTTTCATTGACTCTAAGGAGAACACAAATCAGAAGGTGCAAGTCCTTTGAGATTTCCACTTGCTTTGTCTTCGTGCCCCATCTGGACGGGGGCAGGGGGTTAATACCGGTTCTTCTCCTTTAAGACATAGGTCACCCCCACCCTGCCATCCTGACTCAGGAGGGCCCTGGGTCTGGACCCCTCTTCAGCGCACAGCAACCCTCCTTCCCGTGTAGGTACCAGCACTGAGAGCTGGGAGTGCTACATCACACCAGGAGCCCCCTAGTCCTGGACTGCAGTACTGGCTATAGGGGCACAGGAGCTGGAGGCCTGGAGAGGACAGCAGCCTCCCCAGTCAACAGCAGACACAGGGATGATGCTGTCAGGAGGACAGGAAGATCCCCAACCAAGGTAGGAGCAAAATGGGACGGAACATGGGCAAAGAGCCTGGCCAGGTGAAAGTGGGTGCGTTGTAGCCCTCCCTGAGGCACAGACGAGGGCACAGTCACTCACCGTCCAAAGCTGCCTGTGACGGGGTAGGATGAGACAAGGGAGCCCAGCACGTTGGTGAGGCCTGGAAGGAAGCAGACAGGGTTTGTCAGGAGGGGAAGGAGCACAGATAGAGGGAGAAGAGACACGGGGGCAGAGGTGGAGGAATACCCTTGCACGGGGGCCCAAACTTGGGGTTCACTCTTTCAGGGAAGGAAGAAACTAAGCTGTGACTTTGCCTGGCCATAAGCCCTAGCCCCACAAACTCCCACCCTGAGAAGGAACTGTCAAGGTGCTCCTTGGCACAGGGCCCGGTGCACAGCATGTGCTCGGTAATGGACAGAATGAACACCCCCTGGCAGCTTCCCGTTTCCAGAGATTAAACCAAACCACGTGGAGCTGTGGGAATGAGTCCACGCCCACATTCCTAAAGGGCCCCAGTGGGACCCCTGCCCCCGGCAGTCTACCATGATCAACACAACACTCTGCACAACCCAGGGAGATGCAGAGGCCCAGACCCCCGGGGACCCACGGCTGGCATCTTACCGATGGCTAGCAGCTCCTGGTTCGCGTCGATGCGGTAATTATTCTCAGACGCTAAAGAGAACAAATGGTAAACGCACTGTTAAGCAGTATCAGTAGCCACAGGAAGTGCTCATGAAGGGAGAAACAGGTGCTTTCATAAGCAGCATGAAGGTTTGCAAATACAGATCCAGACGCACACACGCATGTGTACACCACCGCGTGGGGGGGGCTCACAAAAGCTGGAAAGAGGCACAGCAGTTAACTGGGTAAGTAAAAGAGATTACCGGTGATCTGTCCCTTCTTTTTTCTTTTTTTTGTGTTCTGTCCCTTCTTTTTTTTTTTAGACAGGGTCTCACTCTGTCACCAGGCTACAGAGCTATGGCATCATCATAGCTCACAGCAACCTCAAACTCCTAGGCTCCAGGATCCTCCTTCCTCAGCCTCCTGAGTAGCTGGCGCTACAGGTGCCTGCCACAAGGCCCAGCTGGTTTTTCTATTTTTAGTGGGGATGGGGTGTCCCTCTTGCTAAGGCTGGTCTTAAACTTCTGAGCTCAAGGGATCCACTCGCCTGGGCCTCCCAGAGCCTGGGATTACAGGTGTGAGCCACCACACTCGGCCTGATCTGTCCCTCCTTTACTCATCTCTGCACTTTCAACTTCTTCAACAACAAATTATAGTTATTTCTTTTACAATAAGAGAAAAATGTTTAAAACTAGAAACCTCTCTGATTACAACCTGCAATGACTAGAAAATATAGACGTGTCTGTCTCCGAAAGGAGTGGAGAAGAGATTTCAGGAGAAGCTACAGGAGCATGAACCTGGCAGACTGTCAGTATTTTAGGCTTTGCAGGCCCAGTGTCTGTTGTGGCCGCGCAGCACAAGAGCAGCCACAGGTAATGAGCTCCCAAAGGAGAATGCTGTGTTCCAACTCTGTGAACACTGAAATTTGAACTGCACATCCAATTCATATGTACAAGTTATTATTATTCTTTTGACTTTTTCCAACCATTTAAAAACATGAGAGTTATTCTGAGGTCAATGGCCACACAAAATAAGCAGCAGGCCGTGGTTTAAGAGGTTCACAAATCAGACCAGAACGCCAGGCAACTTCAGAAGAAACAGAATGTTTTCTGTTCCCACTACTCAGGAGGCTAAGGCAGGAGGATCTTTTGACCCCAGGAGTTCAAGTCTAGCCTAAGCAACATATCAAGATCCTGTCTTTAAAAACAAAAACAGAAAAGGAAAGGAAAGAAATGGACAGAATGTTTTCTAAGTAACCAATGAGTATAAACTGTAAGCTATGGAAACAGAGAAACACCTACATTTCTTTCTGCAACAGAAATACATGCTCAGAAAAGCAAAAACTGAGCAAAGAAGACACAAGCTATATATGGAACAAACAGTAGTATGATTTAGAGCAATTGCCAGAATTATCAAAGAGAAAACCCTCCTGGTGGCACCCGTAGCTCAGTGGGTAGGGCACTGACCACATACACTCAGGTAGGCAGGTTCGAATCTAGCCCAGGCCTACTAAACAATGACAACTGCAACAAAAAAGAAATAGC